AAACCCTCCCTTCCCACAGCACAACCCTCAGCAGGCAGTTCCCCTTCCTAAGGATTATCCAGCAAACCACAAGGAGCCCAGAGGGAAGCTGTGGCCGGCACCCATCACCTCTCCAGAGGGGGATCCCTCTGCTCGGGCTTATCCCGGTGGAATCTGAGAGCAGCCTCCGGGGAGCAACGTGACTAATGCCTGGCACATGTTTGCTCTCTCGCCTTCTCCCCGGGGAGGGGCGTGGAGAGCAGATTATATATAGCAGAGTGTGTGTCTCGGGGTATTTATGCTACAGGAGGCAAGGTCACAGCAAGGAGCACGGCGGGGAGGGGCCGGGGAACCTCAGCTCCCGGGAAGTCTGTTCCCAAAAAAAAAAAAAAAAAAAAACCCAACAAAGAGAATCTGAGGATTTCCAGATTCTGCCCTTGGATCCGCCTGGAAAACGAGCCCCTGGTTTTGCCCACTTTTCTATTTGCAGCAGCACAGAGCCCTGAGAGGGGCCAGCCCAGGCTGGAAGCACCATCACAAGTGCATTTTGCCACCTGCACTTTGCAGAAAGACTTTAAGGCCCCAGCCCTGCCCCTCCCAGGTCAGATTTCCCAGCGGGAATGGCACATTCCCAGAACCTCACAAAGGGGCTCCGGGGATTCAAAACCAAGAGCCCTTTTAGCCAAACCCGCTGCCAACCTTCCCAGGGCAACAGCAGCAGCACTAAGGACAGGGATGCTTTCACCATATCCTGGGAACAAAGGAGCAATTCCCAAGGAATTCAGGCAGCCTCTCCATGCCCAGAGTCCCTCCAGCAAGGAGAGGAGGGGTGCAGATCAAACACCCACAACAACCCCAGGGAAAGGCAGGTGGCAGATGCCACCAAGGAAGGGCTTGGGGCGACAGCAGATGAGGGAGGGAAAACCTTCATCCCACCCTCCTCTTCAGCAGCCCAAGAGCTGCGAGCTCAGCCCTGCAGCTCCTCCAGCTCTCCCCACTCCCTTCATCCTCAACCAGCACAATTCAGCTTGGCCTAAACCACCCCTGGCCTTCCAGGCCTGGAAAAACACCTCCTCCAAGACCTCCTCCCTCTCTCTCTCTCTTGTCTCTCTTAAGCTTTTATTTCCCGGTCACTGGAATTCCTCAGCCACACCAGTCAGGAGTTCAGGGCTGGTAATTTGTGTTTGCCACCCAAGCCAATCCCTTTCCCAATAAGAGGCACATCAATATTCCATGTCATTCAGGGACAGCTGTTGGGATGAACGGGCCAGGCATAATTTTGTTTCAAAAACCTGACTGTAGCCTCAAAGTGGCAATTACCATTAGTAAATTGATGGGAAAATGCAATTTGTTTACTAACAAGATCCAGCTGATGGAGTGTGTGAGCCTACTCTCCGGGATTCTTTACAGCAGGAATTTGCTGGGGGAAATAAAGATACTTTGTTCCCCCCCCCTACAAAGCCTTTCCAAGGCATCTCCAAGTACTTTGTGAGCATTAGTTAAACTTTATTATCCCTCTGGGGAAGGAGGTAAAAGACATATGGCAAAATCACTCTGTAGCACGGAGACAAACCCACACCTGCAGCAAAACTTTGCTGCTGCTCAACACAGTAAAGGAACTGGGTGATGGTTTGAGGGGAAAAAAAAAAAAAAAGAAGCCTGTTTTCCATGAATTAGAGCATGATTAATCAGTATCCATGCTAACAACCCCCCATGCCAACGCCAGGGAAGCATGAATCTTGTAGTCAATAATTCCTGCCAGTGCTCTGGGGACACCAGAAGGAAGAAAAAAGCAGCCCCTGGTGACAGCAAACCCACCCCTTCCCAAACAAAGTGCTTGGGAGCCTGTGGAAAGAGGCAGAGGAGTCAGTGCCACCCTCCTGTCAGCACAGCCCCAGGGCCATGGGAAGCATCTCCCGCTCCAGGTGGGCAGAGCCATTGCTTCCCCTGATCCTAAAAAAAAAACCTGAGGAATGGGAAGGTTCAACGACCCACCCATGGCCACACGAGCCAGCGGCAGAGCAAGGGAACGAGCCCCATTTTCCTGGCTGAACTTCCCAGGAAAACCTTCTTCTCCCTCCACGGCCAGCAAGGAAAAAGGGCTCCTGGAATCGTGATTTCACCGGGATCACATTCAGAGCCACGGCCTCGGTCATTACCAGGGCTGTCATGGCCATATGCTGCTCTCTCCAGAGGTCAATTAGAGCCAGGGCAGACAGCGGGGTTGGGAAGGACAGATCCAGGCTGTTCCCACTGTGCCAGGGCCAATTGACGGGATTTGAGCATTTGATATGTGGCAGATGCTGCTCTGGCTACAATTAACATGGCAACACTGAGCCCAGCGCTGCGGAGCAGGGAGGAGCGTGCTGCAAATCCCAGTTCTGCTCTTCCCCTGGAATACTAACGAGCTCTGCTCTGGCTCCACTCCGAGAGGTCCTGGGAGATGGGGCTGCTGCTCCAGCCAGGAATCTGGAGCCTCTGGAGCGCAGGAGGCCGCCTCAGGCAAGGTCCACACGGCCAGCAGATCTCCCCTTTTCCACACAAA